GACTCAGCTGACAGGCTGCTACACTGCCTTACCAACTCACCACCAAGACTCAGCTGACAGGCTGCTACACTGCCTTACCAACTCACCACCAAGACTCAGCTGACAGGCTGCTACACTGCCTTACCAACTCACCACCAAGACTCAGCTGACAGGCTGCTACACTGCCTTACCAACTCACCACCAAGACTCAGCTGCCAGGCTGCTACACTGCCTTACCAACTCACCACCAAGACTCAGCTGACAGGCTGCTACACTGCCTTACCAACTCACCACCAAGACTCAGCTGACAGGCTGCTACACTGCCTTACCAACTCACCACCAAGACTCAGCTGCCAGGCTGCTACACTGCCTTACCAACTCACCACCAAGACTCAGCTGCCAGGCTGCTACACTGCCTTACCAACTCACCACCAAGACTCAGCTGACAGGCTGCTACACTGCCTTACCAACTCACCACAAGACTCAGCTGCCAGGCTGCTACACTGCCTTACCAACTCACCACAGACTCAGCTGACAGGCTGCTACACTGCCTTACCAACTCACCACCAAGACTCAGCTGACAGGCTGCTACACTGCCTTACCAACTCACCACCAAGACTCAGCTGACAGGCTGCTACACTACTGCCTTACCAACTCACCACCAAGACTCAGCTGCCAGGCTGCTACACTGCCTTACCAACTCACCACCAAGACTCAGCTGACAGGCTGCTACACTGCTTACCAATCACCACCAAGACTCAGCTGACAGGCTGCTACACTGCCTTACCAACTCACCACCAAGACTCAGCTGACAGCTGCTACACTACTGCCTTACCACTCACCACCAGACTCAGCTGACAGGCTCTACACTACTGCCTTACCAACTCACACCAAGACTCAGCTGACAAGGCTGCTACACTACTGCCTACCACTCACCACCAAGACTCGCTGCCAGGCTGCTCACTGCCTTACCAACTCAACTCAACTCAGGCTGACAGGCTGCTACACTGCCTTACCAACTCACCACCAAGACTCAATTTAGAGAGGAGAGGAGAGGAGAGGAGATGAGATACTGTCAATAGCATTGGATGTGATGTGTCGTATTTATTTATTTTTATTTTACCTTTATTTTACTAGGCAAGTCAGTTAAGAACAAATTCTTATTTACAATGACGGCCTACACCGGCCAAACCCGGACGACGCTGGGCCAATTGTGCGCCGCCCTATGGGACTCCCAATCACGGCCGGTTGTTATACAGCCTGGAATCAAACCAGGGGGTCTGTAGTGACGCCTCAAGCACTGAGATGCAGTGCCTTAGACCGCTGCGCCACTCAGAATCTTAGAGAGACAGGGTCTGGAATTCAAGTGAATCCACCAAAGCAAGATGTTTATGTGTATGTACTCATTCTAAATATGTCTGACTTATTTGTTAGTTTAAGTATGAAATGTTTCGTACATCGTTTTTACCACATTCCTTAGCTCTTCGTTGTTTGGAGGGTATTGTTGGCTTTTCCAGTCAGTGAGCTTTAACCACAGATTTCAACAATTGGAGCTCTCAAATATTCCAAATGATGAAGTTATGTTACATGATAGGACTTCTAGAATGTCTTACATCACTCTCAGATGGAGACTCATAATGTCTTAGATTATTCATGCTGAACTGGCATGAAATTCAACCCCTCCTAAAAATATGAAACTGGTAGTGTTGCACCAGCAGGAACTGAGAGAGGGAGAGAGAAAGAGAAACAGAGAGAGAGAGTATTATAAATATGAAAGTATAGCAGTGTCTGTTCGTTTGGACAAGAACAGCTTGGTTTACAAACAGGAACTAAGGACTCTCTGCTGAGGATTAATGGCATCGGTTGTTGTCACTAGTCAGCAGTCCAACTCACTCTGAAATGTTTCATCCATTTGGATTTGTTTGTTTCCAAAGAAGATAAAATACATTATGGAATGGGTTGAATATCCACAACACAACACAACACAACACAACACAACACAGTAGCCTACACTCACTCACTGTCTGCACCCCACATCAAATCAAATCAAATTTTATTTGTCACATACATGTGTTTAGCAGATGTTATTGCGGGTGTAGCGAAATGCTTGTGCTTCTATAATAATAATATGCCATTTAGCAGACGCTTTTATCCAAAGCGACTTACAGTCGACAGTGCAGTAATTTCTAACAAGTAATATCTAACAATTTCACAACATATACCCAGTACATTAGAGGCTGCTGCTGCCTATTGAAATCACTGGCCACTTTAAGAAATGGAACACTAGTCACTTTAATAATGTTTACATATCTTGCACTACTCATCTCATATGTATATACTGCATTCTATTCTATAATATTCTACTGTATCTTAATCCATGCCGCTCTGTCATTGCTTGTCCATACATGTATATATTCTTATATTTCATTCCTTACTAGATTTGTGTGGCCTTGCGGTGATACAGCCCGACAGGATGCTCTCAATTGTGCATATGTAGAAGTTTGTGAGGGTTTTAGGTGCCAAGCCAAATGTGTTGCCCAAGCCTTGAAACAACAACACACACAACAGCAGTTTCCTAGAATCTAGAGGGGAAAAATGAAAATCTCACATTAAAAGAATCAGCAACCGCAGTGGAACACAGCATTCAATCCTTTCTGTTTGGATCCCACTCACTGACGCTGGTCCCCACATGTGGCTGCTTAGCAACCCCTCTCCAGCACTACACAGTGAATTATCATGCAGGGTAAAGCATGACCAGTGCTTCTCACATTCAAGAGTCAGAATCACCTTTATTCACCACATACATTTGCATGTACATGAATTTGACTCGGTGAAATGTTCCACCAGTCAGGGAGAAAATCCCTCCACACTGACTCAAACCACCAACGTCCTAGCAGAGAACACGGGCATGAGGAGTCTCTATTACTTCAAAGGATTTAGGATTTTTCTTCACTGCTTTTCTTCCAAAATAGGAAAAAGGGTCTGAAGAGTATAGGCCTACTATTGGTCACATTGAGGGCTGTAACCTATAAGGGGGATGTGGTGATGTGCAATCTGTTTATACTAACACTGGAATAGCTATGTGACAACAACAAAAAACAAGAGCATAGGCTATTATTTACAAGCAAATGACTATACACTGAGTATACAAAACATTATGAACACATGCTCTTTCCACGACATAGACTGACCAGGTGAATCCAGGTGAAAGCTATGATCCCTTATTGATGTAACCTGTTAAATCCACATCAATCAGTGTAGATGAAGGGGAGGAGACAGGTTAAAGAAGGATTTTTAAGCCTTGAGACAATTGAGACATGGATTGTGTATGTGTGCCGTTCAGAGGGTGAATTGACAAGCCAAAATATTTTAGTGCCTTTGAACAGGGTATGGTAGTAGGTGACAGGTGCACCGGTTTGTGTCAAGAACTGCAACGCTGCTTGGTTTTTCACGCTCAACAGTTTCCCGAGTGTATCAAGAATGGCCCACCACCCAAAGGACATCCAGCCAACTTGACACAACTGTGGGAAGCATTGGAGTCAACATGGGCCACCATCCCTTGTACAGTCCATGCCCCGACGAACTGAGGCTGTTCTAAGGGCAAAAGGGGGTGCAACTCAATATTAGGAAGGTGTTCCTAATGTGTGGTTACTCAGTGTATATGACAGAGAAAAACTGCCCAAACAAGCCAGCCCTAAAAGAGCAAACAAGATAACACCTTGGAAAAGGCCGACATGCATTGCGACATATGAGCTATTTAAAGATAATTAATGTGACGATTAGGCCTAAGTATTCGTGCATTGCCACCGTCATGGATTGAAAGCCAACGCAAGCGCAGTGGATGGGCTACGCACTCATTCCAATGGCCACTTGCAGCGGAACGGTACCTGTCCATGGCGCTGAAGTGACGCCCACTCACCCAGTCCAATCACTGTATCCCTATAGGGCAGCGCAACCTCACAGTGTGGAATAACAGCTGGTGATTGACAATGAAGACATTATTAATTTGCATAGATAAATAATGGGGAGCAAATAAGCGGAAGGTGTGGGTATTTTCTTTTTGCAAATGATATAATTCACGGTTTTTAATTAGTCACCTGATAAGTTTAAGCAAATTTAAATCCCCTAATTGAATTCAAACTCTAATGTTATTATAGCCTATTAGGCTACTTTGCAGAATGTTAATCTATTGTCAACGGAATGTCATTCAAATGTAGGTTCATCTACTCTGTGTCGCACGTTTTCAAATGTAATTTTCCTTTAAGATGATGATGTAAGACGTTACTCCGCATGATGGTTTTTCCGCGCACCGCTGGAGAATCATCATCCTAACCTTCTTCAGTCCGGTGCCAGCCTGACGGTTACTTCTCTTCTCCTCTCTGCACAGCAGTTTGGAGACGGAGAGATGGGAGCGCGCTGCACTGGCGTCCAGATTCAATTTTAACTTTAAGAAAATAACTGCACGCACATGACAATTTCAGCACGGTCTCAGTGGACAGCGAACGTGCACTTGCTTCCGGCAGATGAAGTTACATCGGAGCGTTAAAAAACAAGGACAGGAGCTTGCCTTGCAGAATCAAAGAAGTTGGACATTTTTATCCAGAACGGACTGAAATGCAGAGGTGCTGAATTTTTGTTCGATTGATGATGGAATAATGGTGATGTCACGATGATTTCACTGTAGGATTATATCAATGGACTCACAGCAATGGGACAAAGCAATGGATGTGTGTAAAATGATGCATGCACTAGATGTGGTGATCGATTTCATTCAACAGAAGACATGCACGATCGGCAGGCATTTTACGCGCGGCTTAACTGAAGCACCTGAGGTTTTTTACAGCACTTGTCTTGAATAATTTTTGTGGGGGGGTTGTAATGGGGGTCAACGGTGTCCTTGGTATGCAGGTCTAATGAGCACACAGAATACATGCTATTCCATCCCATATAGATTGAAAACTTTTTGGGAACATCTGCGCGCTGCACCGTGACCGGGATTTGGTTTTGTGCATGAACAAAAAATGGCACTGAGTGAGAATTGTAAAACCCAGCCCGCTAAAGAAACAGGGTCGGTGAAAAACCTGCCGTCTGATGTTATTGAACTAAACGTAGGGGGACAGGTATACTACACTCGCCTCCCTACTTTAACAAGCATCCCCAATTCCTTACTGGGACGGTTATTCTCCACCAAGAAGGGGTCCTCGAATGATTTGGCGCGGGACCTCCGGGGACGTTATTTTATCGACAGAGATGGTTTTCTGTTCCGATATGTATTGGATTATCTGAGAGATAAGCAGGTCGTCCTACCGGACCACTTCCCGGAGAAAGGGAGGTTAAAACGGGAAGCAGAATACTTTGAACTCCCCAAACTGGTCAAACTGTTGGCGTCCGAGGAATCTAAACAGTTTCAGGACGACCCTTTTCACAGTGATTTCGACGACGCGTCGCTAGGCAGCGACCAGAGGATCTATTCCTCCTACTCTCTGGACCGGAGGTATGGATACATAACCGTCGGTTTCAAAGGCACGTGCGCGGCACCGGGGGTCAAGGACAGTCAGATTGACTCCAAATCCAAAAAAGTAGTACCCAGAATCTTCATCAGTGGAAGGATCGGCCTCGCCAAAGAGGTGTTTGGAAACACCCTGAATGAGAGCCGAGACGCGGACAGGCCTGTGGACAGGTACACCTCCCGGTTCTTCCTCCGGTTCCGTCACTTGGAGCGAGCCTTTGACATGCTGTCTGAGAGCGGGTTCCACATCGTTGCCTGTAACTCGTCGCTCACCGCCTCTTCCATCAGCCATTACGCACCTGAGAAAGTCTGGTCCAACTACACGCAGTACGTCTTCTACCGTAAGTGAACGTTTATTTCCCACATAAAACACTCGAAACGTTCTTTAATAATGCCCTTTAGGTTAGGCCACAGTTATGTCACAATATATTGTTTAAGTGGATTTAGTAAAGGGAATAGTTAAGTAGGTTAGACTATTGATGTCTGACAGACTGACTAGGTTGGATTAGGCCTATATGGTTCCCTTTGCTATCATCCCTGCACCTTGTTTTAAATAGCTTTTAAAGTTTGTTATTATATACACTGAGCGTACAAAACATTAGGAACATCTTCCTAATATTGAGTTGCACCCCCTTTTGACCTCAGAACAGCCTCAATTTGTCGGGGCATGGACTCTACAAGGTGTCGAAAGCGTTCCACAGGGATGCTGGCCCATGTTGACTCCAATGCTTCCCACAGTTGTGTCAAGTTGGCTGGTAGTGGGTCTCTACTCCGAATAGCTCGTTCCATCTCATCCCACAGATGCTCAATTGGATTGAGATCTGGTGACTGGGCAGGCCACCGCAGTAAGCTGAATTCACTGGCGTGTCCGTGGAACCATTCCTGGACAATACTAGCCTTGTAGCATTAGGCATTATCCTGCTGAAAAAAATCAGTTTGCAGATGGATACACTGCTGCCATGAAGGGATGCACCTGATTGGCAACGATTTTCCGATATCCTGTGGCATTCAAACGTTGCTCCACTTTTATCAAGGGGCCCAAAATGTGCCATGAAAACACAACATCACACCACCAGCCTACAATGTTGACACACGGCATATGATGGATGCTTGTGCTCATGTGGTTTTATCCATACCCTAGTCCTCCCATCAGTGTGAAACAGCAGGAACCAGGATTCATCAGACCAGGCAAAGTTTTTTCCAATTCTCCAGTGTCTTCGTTCCTTAGCCCACTGCATCTGCATTGTCTTGTATTTTGCTGAAAGAAGTGGAACTCTGTGAGGTCGTCGGCTGCCATACCCCATTCGTGTCAAGGTACGACGAGTTGTGCATTCATTTATGGGTCTTTGGGCACCAACGTTGTACTGGACTGTCAGTTGACTAACTGTAGCCCGTCTGTTGCTCTGCACAATTCGTGTCAGCCTCCTTTGTCCTCTTTCATCAATGACCCGTTTTCGACCACTGGCCTGCCGTTGGCTGGATGTCCTTTGGGTGGTGGACCATTCTTGATACACACGGGAAACTGTTGAGCATGAAAAAACCCAGCAGCGTTGCAGTTCTTGACACACTGAAACCGGTGCGCTTGGACCTACTACCATACCCCCGTTCAAAGGCACTTCAATCTTTTGTCTTTCCCATTCACCCTCTGAATGGCACTCACTGACAATCTGAAATGGTCCACCCACACAGACAGTGTGGTGAAGTAAGCGCAACAGCGGCTCTTCAACCTCAGGAGGCTGAAGAAATTCGTCTTGGCCCCTAAGACCCTCACAAACTTTTACAGATGTACAATTGAGAGCATCCTGTCGGGCTGTATCACCGCCTGGTACGGCAACCGCACCTCCCGCAACCGCAGGGGTCTCCAGAGGGTGGTGCGGTCTGCCCAACGCATAACCTGGGGCACACTGCCTGCCCTCCAGGACACCTACAGCACCCGATGTCACAGGAAGGCCAAAAAGATCCTCAAGGACATCAACCACCCGAGCCACTGCCTGTTCACCCCACTATCATCCAGAAGGCGAGGTCAGTACAGGTGCATCAAAGCTGGGACCGAGAGACTGAAAAACAGCTTCTATCTCAAGGCCATCAGACTGTTAAATTGCCATCACTAGTCGGCTACCACCCGGTTACTCAACCCTGCACCTTAGAGGCTGCTGCCCCTATATACATAGACATGGAATCACTGGCCACTTTAATAATGGAACACTAGTCTCTTTAATAATGTTTACATACTGCTTTACTCAATTCATATGTATATACTGTATTCTACTGTATTTTAGTCAATGCCACTCAGACATTGCTCGTCCTAATATTTATATATTTCTTAATTCCATTCTTTTACTTTTAGATTTGTGTGTATTGTTGTGAATTGTTAGATACTACTGCACTGTTGGAGTTAGGAACACAATCATTTCGCTACACCCGCAATAACATCTGTTAAAAATGTGTATGTGACCAATAAAAGTTGATTTGATTTGACATACACAATCCACGTCTCAATTGTCTCAAGGCTTAAAAATCCTCCTTTAACCTGTCTCCTCCCCTGCATCTACACTGATTTGAAGTGGATTTAACAAGTTATATCAATAAGGGATCATAGCTTTCACCTGGATTCACCTGGTCAGTCTGTGTCATGGAAAGAGCAGGTGTCCTTAATGGTTTGTACACTCAGTGTACGTGCACTCTATTATACTCGGATTTAACCAATCAGAGACCAATCACCAGCCGCCTGTATGAGGGAAGAAGACTTAGCTCACTGATTTAAGGCACTAGGCATCACTTCAAGTCTCAGGCAAGGTGCAGACCACGCAAGCCTATTCTACAAACCTTCTCTGCCACACACACACACACACACACACACACACACACACACACACACACACACACACACACACACACACACACACCTCATGCATCATGCTGTCAGTATAGAGGAGGTAGGGCTATATCATGAATAAAATAGTACCGCTGCACTGACCAACATCATTTATATTCTGTATACCACTTTGACAGTAGTGTGTGTGTGTATGTGTGTCACAGTGTGTGTGTGCTGCCGTGTTCAAAACAACTGGGAACTCTGAAACATACGAGGTCAAATCATGATTTCAGTGATCTTCAGGTGGGGAAGTCAGAGCTCTAGAAAGAAGCCTGAGTTCCCGGAGTTGGAATTCCGAGTTGGATGACTGTTCAAATCCATTTTTCCCACACAGACCTCGTTTTCTTCCGAGCTCCCAGTTGTTTTGAACGCGGCATCAGTCACAGTGTGTGTGTGTCACAGTGTGTGTGTCACAGTGTGTGGTGTGTCACAGTGTGTGGTGTGTCACAGTGTGTGGTGTGTCACAGTGTGTGTGTGTGTGTGTGTGTGTCACAGTGTGTGGTGTGTCACAGTGTGTGGTGTGTCACAGTGTGTACTGTGTCACAGTGTGTGTGTGTGTGTGTGTCACAGTGTGTGGTGTGTCACAGTGTGTGTGTGTGTGTGTCACAGTGTGTGTGTGTGTGTCACAGTGTGTGGTGTGTGTGTTACACCGGCCAACATCATTTCACATTCATTCCCTCCCTGGTCTAAACCCTCCCTGGGTTAAACTCTCCCTGGTCTAAACCCTCCCTGGTCTAAACCCTCCCTGGGTTAAACCCTCCCTGGTCTAAACCCTCCCTGGTCTAAACCCTCCCTGGGTTAAACCCTCCCTGGTCTAAACCCTCCCTGGTCTAAACCAGACAGTTGTGCCATTTAGCTGAAGGAGGAAAGACAAAGTTTGGCCACTAGCGACTGCCTACTTACCTTCATTAGTGACTAATTTGGCTCATCCCTCACTTTCTCTCTCCTCATCCCTTGCTTTCTCTGTGCGGAGAGAGGAGGGAGATGCTGCACCATATGGCCAATTAAAATACACTTTGTTCGCAATTCCAGAAGGTTCCCCTCGGATTCCTGAAGGAGATCCAGCTGGTAGGTCATTGCTTGGGGTTGGGGTGGTAGAGGGTTTTAGGGGGGAGAATTCCATCTGGCTGGTCAAGGTTGGGGGTTGGGGTGGTAGAGGGTTTTAGGGGGGTGAAATCCATCTGGCTGGTCAAGGTTGGGGGTTGGGGTGGTAGAGGGTTTTAGGGGGGTGAAATCCATCTGGCTGGTCAAGGTTGGGGGTTGGGGTGGTAGAGGGTTTTAGGAGGGTGAAATCCATCTGGCTGGTCAAGGTTGGGGGTTGGGGTGGTAGAGGGTTTTAGGGGGGTGAAATCCATCTGGCTGGTCAAGGTTGGGGGTTGGGGTGGTAGAGGGTTTGAAGGGGGTGGAGTAACTGCGGCTAAGGAAGACATATTATTTGCTTACGGAGTCAGTTAATATAATTATAATAGAATAGGTGGGTGTTGACCTCCTAACAACTATTTTAGAGGAATTTTCACTGAGACATTGTGGAGTCTTGTGGAGGATGGAGGGACTTGAAGGAGGAGGACGGATTGATGTAGTTGTTCATCAGTTGAAGAGAGGCTGGATCTGATTGTTATTACATACAGTTGAAGGAGGGAGGGCTGGGATCTGAAGTTATGTAATACAGTTGAAGAGGGGGGCTGGGATCTGATGATAGTTCATACGTTAAGAGGAGGCTGGATCGATATTAGTTATACATAAGTGACAGCTTGAAGGTCGACAGAAGTTGTTAGTACATACAGTTGAGAGGGAGACGACGATATTATTAGTTAATAATTGAAGGAGGAGGGCTGGATAGTTTATTAGTTACCATGAAGAGGGAGGGCTGGATCATAGTTTTATTACATACAGTTGAAGAGGGGGGCTTCTGATGTAGTTATTACATACATTATGGGTCTGCTATGGTCGCAGATAGTTAGTTATTACTTACAGTTGAAGTCGGAGTTTACATACCTTACAATACATTAACACAGTTTTCACAATTCTGACATTTATCCTTGTAAAATCCTGTCTTAGGTCAGTTAGGATCAATACTTATTTTAAGAATGTGAATGTAAAACCGTGAAAAGAATGATTTTTTCACATTTTATTTTCTTTCATTCACATTCCCAGTGGGGAAGTTTTACAACATACACTCAACTTAGTATTTTTGGCTCAGAATTGCCTTTAAATTGTTTTAACTTGGTCAAATGTTTACGGGTAAGCCATTCCACAAGCTTCCCACAATAAGTTGGATGAATTTTGGCCCATTCCTCCTGACAGAGCTGGTGTAACTGAGTCAGGTTTGAAGGCCTCCTTGCTCGCACACGCTTTTTCAGTTCTGCCCACAAATGTTCTATAGGATTGAGGTCAGGGCTTTGTGATGGCCACTCCAATACCTTGACTTTGTTGTCCTTCAGCCATTTTGCCACAGCTTTGGAAGTATGCTTGGG